GGGCTTCATGAGGTGCTGGTCGGCACTGGTCACGCTGGGCGTGCTCTTAGCAGCTCTAATTGCTGGCTGCATCTTCTTGAGTTTGCCCTTGCCGCCCTTGAACCTGGTTTTGCCATCATCGCTGGCGCTTGTGTGGCGGGTTAACGCTGGCCTTCGTTTCTTGCTGCACCATTTGGCCCTTAAACTCAGCTGTGGCTCGCGCTACGGCCTGCGTAAGTGCCATCGCCGCACGTTGCCCTGTCTCTCCCAGCGCCGATGGCCTCAAGGCGCAGAACAGGGCCTGCAGCTTGCAAATGACGCAGCACCGTTGCAGCTCCTGCGCGCAGCGCCCAAAGTCCTGCTCAGCAGGGCAGGCTGGATCTCCTCTACAGCCAGACTTCGCCTGCTCGTCCGACTCGCTTGCTTCTTGGGCGCCGCAGTCGTCCGCCACCGTCGCCGTGGCATGCGCGTCGGCCACCATCACGGAGGCCGACGCCGTCGGAGGTGCAACTCGGGTCGCTCCTCACGCAGTCGCCGCCACTTCCTACGTTGGCCCCGTCGCACTCCTTCACACGCCCCTTGGTGTACTTCACGTTGTCCTCCTACCAGGCTGAAGACCCAAAGAACCTGTCGTCGCCCAGGCTGAGCAAGCGTGTCGCACTTCTCGCTGTCTGTCCTGACGGTAACTTCTGGGAACTGCTTGCACCCATCGCCCAGTTTGAGATCGAACAGGGGATCGCCCCCCCCCCCCCCCCGCGCGCAGAGCTTCGCGCGGCAATCCGACCGCCAGGCCAACCTCCTCGGCCGTCTGTCGTACACCTCGGCTGTATTGTCCTTGCTCACGCGTTCAATGCTACACCGATAGGCGCCCACCACGACCCCATGCGGGGCGCTGCTATCGTGCACCTCCTCGTCCTGACCTTTCGTCCACCGCACGCTGCTCGTGGCGATCCTGATCTTTTCTACGCGCGCGGGTGTTCACGAGAAAGACCCGCTCCACCCTCTTCGTCGGGGTGCGCTCTGCGACGAGCCATGGCCAGGCCAGCTGTGGCGCTCCTTCCCCCAAAGGGGACCCATGGGCTCCGACACCTCGTCTCGATAGACCGTCGATGCGATGGGTTCCCCGATGGGGTCGGCGGCAAGGAAAACAGCAGCCCACAGCAGCCCAGCAGGCTGGTCGGACATCCTCGCGATCCTCCGCGACCGGGGCCTCGTTCACCCAGCCGCCCAGTTTGCCAGTCACCGGTCACCCTCAGCGCCGCTGCCGGCACGCCGCGCGTGCCGTCGGGGGCCGCCAGCTGTTCGCCAGCACCGATCCTGCCAGGGCCTGCCCTGGGCCTGGGATCGTTGCACACGGCCCTGGCCAAGCCAGGATGGCGTGTAGACTCATCCTAGACGTACACCGTCTGAGCGGCCTCCTCTCTCTCTCTCTCTCTTCCTCCCTCACAGGTTGTACCGGCGCAGTTCGCACGCGCCAGACGGCCGATCTTGTGCGGCTGGCGTCTCCCTTACGGGAGAGATTGGAGGCGGCTTCCTCGAAGTTCACCGAGGTATGAGAGGGTTCTGGCCCACCCGCGCCGCTCCTGAGGGTCTGTCGGCTGGCCAGCTGGCAGACTCGCGCGTCCACCTTCCTGCGTCTTGCGCTCCTCCCCCCCCGCCCAAAAACTCGGCTGCGCATCGACTGTCGCCGCCCTTCCTGGCGTGCGGGGCGGGTCGCGCCCCACAGAAGGCGGCTTCGCACCGAATCGGAGCGGCGACCTTCGGGCCAATGCAGCCGCAGAGGGTTGGAACCGAGACGGGGCGGACGAGAGGATCGGCGGCGAAATCCGAGCCCTGCCCTCGCCGGTCCACGATTCAAGCAACTCGATGGGCGGCGGGGGTAGGGTTTGGTATTCGCCGAACACGGGGCGACATTCGAACTCTACCCGCTCCTCCCATCGATTCAGGAGAATTGATGGTTGGTAGGGGTAGGGTTCGGATGTCGCCACCTACGGGAGAAGGAGGAGGAGGAGGAGGAGGAGGAGGAGGAGGCGGAGGAGGAGGAGGCGGAGGAGGAGGAGGAGGAGGCGGAGGAGGAGGAGGAGGAGGAGGAGGAGGAGGAGGAGGCGGATGAGGAGGAGGCGGAGGAGGCGGAGGAGGCGGAGGAGGAGGAGGTGGCACGAGCGGAACGAGACATCAGCACGAGCAACACAGACTGTAAACTGCACGCTTCAATCGCACAAGAGGCGCTCTGTTATCATTGGGTGCAGGGGTACCGCCGCATGAAAGGTCCACGAACGCGGCGCAAACACGAACGAGCCTTAAAATGACAGCTCACAGCGCCGCATGGTGGAGGAGGAGAAGGAGGAGGAGGAGGAGGGGGAGGAGGAGGGGCAGGAAGGGGGGGGGTATGTGGCTGGGGGACGCTAGAGAAGGGGAGGCTGCGGAATCTGATGCGTGCAAGTCTCGAGCCGAGTTATCCGCGCGGGAGGGGGAGGGGGAGGGGGTTGCGGAGGGAGTGCTCCCGAGCGGCATTTTGTACACCACCAGGCCTGGCCAAAGCCAGCCCAGGTCATCAGCATGGCGTGTGCGTTTAGATTATCCTTGCCGCGACAAGGAAGGCACGCACACCATGCCTGGGCCCAGGGCGTCGGGGCGGACCAGCGGTGGCTCAGGGAAAGGGGGGCGTATAGGATCCGCGGCGTGCAGCTGGTCTCGGCCCCGCAGTTTGATGCAGTGTCGCTCGCGGCGCCTCTGGGCGCCGATCAGACCAGCCGCGCGCAACTGTCTCGCCAGCCCCCTCTTTGGCTGCCCTCCGCTCTCGCGCGACCCGAAGTGGTGCTCAGGGTTCTGGAATGGCTTCCAGGGTGGCGCATTTTTCTGAGCCGCCCCTGGGAGCTGGAGCTGCGCGGGTGAAGTGGGGGGAATGGGAAGGAGGAGGGCGAGGGATCAGCTGTCCGTGCGACAGGTGTGCTGCACGCGGTGTGCTTTTCGCGCTGGCTTTCCGCCTTCTCTCTCTCTCTCTCTCTCTATCTTTCTCTTTCTCTCTCTCGCTCTCTCTCTCTCGCGCTCTCTCTCTCTCTCATTCTCTCTTTTTTCCCAACCATCCTGTGGTGTTGGGTCCTCGTTTTGAAGAGACGTCGCCCCGCGTTCTCCTCTCCTCTCCTCTCCTCTCCTCTCCTCTCCTCTCCTCTCCTCTCCTCTCCTCTCCTCTCCTCTCCTCTCCTCTCCTCCTCCCCCTCCTCCTTCCTGCCTCGTCCACGAAAATCATCCTGTGGTGTTGGGTCCTCGTTTTGAAAAGACGGTGCCCCGCGTTCCCTCCTTTCTCCTCTCCTCTCCCCCTCCTCCCTCATCCCTCCTCCATTTCGGCACACCCCTCACACGTTTCGTGGCCCCATATGGGAGCTCCGCCGAAGGCCCCAGTGCTGCCGCCCGCATGCGTCACGCACACCCAATTCGGCACACCCCTCACACGTTTCGTGGCCCCATAGGGAGCTCACCGACGTTTCGCATGCGCCCCATTCGGCAGAGCTCCGCCGAAGGCCCCAGTGCCGCCCGCATGCGTCACGCACACCCAATTCGGCACACCCCTCACACGTTTCGTGGCCCCATAGGGAGCTCCGCCGAAGGCCCCAGTGCTGCCGCCCGCATGCGTCCCGCACACCCAATTCGGCACACCCCTCACACGTTTCGTGGCCCCATAGGGAGCTCCGCCGAAGGCCCCAGTGCTGCCGCCCGCATGCGTCACGCACACCCAATTCGGCACACCCCTCACACGTTTCGTGGCCCCATAGGGAGCTCCGCCGAAGGCCCCAGTGCTGCCGCCCGCATGCGTCACCACACCCAATTCGGCACACCCCTCACACGTTTCGTGGCCCCATAGGGAGCTCCGCCGAAGGCCCCAGTGCTGCCGCCCGCATGCGTCCCACACCCAATTCGGCACACCCCTCACACGTTTCGTGGCCCCATAGGAGCTCCACCGAAGGCCCCAGTGCTGCCGCCCGCATGCGTCACCCACACCCAATTCGGCACACCCCTCACACGTTTCGTGGCCCCATAGGGAGCTCCGCCGAAGGCCCCAATGCTGCCGCCCGCATGCGTCACGCACACCCAATTCGGCACACCCCTCACACGTTTCGTGGCCCCATAGGGAGCTCCGCCGAAGGCCCCAGTGCTGCCGCCCGCATGCGTCCCGCACACCCAATTCGGCACACCCCTCACACGCTTCGTGGCCCCATAGGGAGCTCCACCGAAGGCCCCAGTGGCGGCGCTCACATGCGCATGCGTCCCGCACACCCATTTCGGCACATCCCTCACAGGTTTCGTGGCCCCATCATCCACTGGAGGCCCCAGTGGCGGCGCTCACATGCGTCACCCACACCCACCCAATTCGGCACACCTCTCACACGTTTCGTGGCCCCATAGGGAGTCCCACCGAAGGCCCCAGCGGCCGCGCTCACATGCGTCCCCGCCACCCATCCCGGCACGCCCCTCACAACAACAGGCTTCGTGGCCCCATAGGGAGCTCCACCGAAGGCCCCAGTGGCACCGCCCGCATGCGTCACCACCCGCACTCAATTCGGCACACCCCTCACACGTTTCGTGGCCCCATAGGGAGTTGCACCGAAGGCCCCAGTGGCGGCGCTCACATGCGTCCCCGCCACACATCCCGGTACACCCCTCACGCGCTCCGTGGCCTCATAGAGAGTTCCACCGAAGGCCCCAGTGGCGCTTACATGCGTCTCCGCCACCCATCCCGGCCCCCCCCCCGCAGCAGCATCATGTTTCGGGGACCCATAGGGAGCTCCACTGGAGGCCCCAGCGGCGGCCCTCACATGCGCTTCCGCCACCCATGTCGGCACGCCCCGCGCGTGTTTCATGTCCCCATAGGGAGCTTCATCGAATGCCCCAGTGGCACCCATCTCGGCACACCCCTCACACGTTCCGTGGTCCTATGGGGAGTCCCACTGAAGATGAACCCGCAGCTGCGGTACTGACAACTGCATATGGTGGGGTTTTTCGCCAGGCTAATTTGTCTATCTCTCTCTCTCTCTCTCTCCCTCTCTCTTTCTCCTGACAGTGGGTTCAGTGAGTAGAAGGATTGCCCTGCCATCTTGGAGTCAAACGAGCGAGCGGGGGCACTTCTGGGGGGGGAGGCGGAGGAGAAGGAGGAGGAGGAGGAGGAGGAACCCACCACCTCTACCTCCTCATCTCCTGTCTCATCTCCATCGCCGCCACTTCCCCCCCTCTCTCTTGCAATGGTCGATGAAGAAGCGATGACAAGCCATAACACGTAATGCTTTCTTGAATGCTGTTTGTAGTATCCCAGTCTCAGCAGGTCCCTACGAGGACCACTTCTCCCGCAGCTTCCCCCAACAATTCGACAGGCTTCGCCCAGTATGATTGCGTGATTGAACGGGGGGGAAAGGACTCGATGTTGCGCGCCCCGTGCCCCCACGAGGGGCACGGTGGAGGAGATCTGGGCTTCTTGCTGTTCCATTAGTCCCCCGGCCTTGTCGAACGTGGAAGCTGATCTTACTGCCCTCGGGCCAATGACGACGTTGCCACTCAAGTAGGTGTTTTGTGGATCCGCCGCCGTCGCATTTTTTACGCGAGGCGCCCAGGCGTCAGCGGGGTTCGTCGTCGCTGCTTTCCCCTGACACCTGCTACCATTCCTGTTCTGGCTGGACAGTTCTTCGTCTTTGGGACCTTCCCTGGTGCCGGGCTGATGGGTCCCCGTTCTCTCGGTGCCGTCCCTTGCCGCCGCCGTTAGCCGTCGCCGTCCCCGTTCACCCCGCATGCCTGGTCTCGCTGGCTTCCCCGTGGGCGTCGCCAGAATCTCAGGCCGCCTGCCCACGGTACGTTTGTGTGCATTGGCCCTGGTGTTCTGACCTCCCGCCCGCGGTGGGGGTGCAGGCCTGCCGCCGCGCATGGTCGATTCGCTCACCATGGGCGACAACCTCCTCTCCTCCCCGGGGCTGCTCGTGTCGTCGGAGGAGTGGAAGCAGGAGGGCGGGCAGGGACAGCACGCGCGCACGAGGCCGAGCATCCGTAGGCTGACGCTCGGGAGAGGAGGGGTGGCTTGTGGCACCTCCCCGAGCAGAGCGGTGGGGCAAACGCACCGGAAGCGCACAAGGGCGCGCAGGGACCGTCTTGCTCAAATTTCTGGGCCTCCCAGATGGGGTCGGAGCAGATGGGGTCAGACGATCGCGCCGCATCGCCGATGCATCGCCGACGCGGCTCGATGCGGAGCCCGGTTTTCTTCACGCGGACGTCGCCGAGGCATCGCCGACGTCGCCGATGCATAGCGAGTGCATCGCCGATGCATCGCCGATGCATCGCCGATGCATCGCCGATGTATCGCCGATGTATCGCCGATGCGGCGCGATCCTCCGACCCTATCTACTCCGACCCCATCTAGGACGCCTCTAAAATTGGCACGTCCACAGAGCGGGTGGGTTTTGGTGGGGGGCGGGCCTTGGCTTGAAGTGCACGCCCCAGGCTGTGATTTTAGGCCCCAAGGGTCCTTCTCCGGCCGGCCATTTTCTTGACGGTTCTCGTACCCCCTTGCTGCCCATCCAGAAACGAATCCCAGTAGGGTAATATGGGCAAAGGAAATATGGGAGCTTGCAGCAAGACAAACACACGGGAGGGGGACAGACAGCCATAAAGGTCTTCTCGAGCCAGGTCGGTCTTTTCAAGACATGGAACTCGAACTAATGCGACGTGCCGTTGGAACAATAACTAGCAGAAATACTAGGAAGGATAGGGACTGACGAGCAGGAATCAAACAAGGAGGACGATTATGTATAAGAGGAGGCGAAGGATGAGCAGGAGGAGAAGGAGGAGAAGGAGGAGGAGGAGGAGGAGAGGGGAGGAGGAGCAGAGGAAGGACGAGAAGGCAAACTGGCCAGACAGGAGCCATGCCACCACCGCACGACACACTCCACATCACGCGGCACGGCACCAGCTGGCATTGCACGCCATGGCACGGCACTGCGGCACCACAGCAACACGGCACCGTGGCACGGCACTAGTCCCCGTCATGTGTTACCTTCCCATGTGCGAAGGATTTGTTCCAACCATCTTGTGTTGAGCTGTGTCCTCGTTTTGAAGAGACACTCTCTGCGTCTCTTCCTCCTCCCCGCCTGCTCATAGGAAGTTCCACCGACGGTCTTAGTGGCATGGTTGGCATGCCGCCCCCGTCTAATTTTGCACACCACTCGCACGTTTCGTGGCAGGGAGCTCCACCGAAGATCCCAGTGGCATGGTTCGCATACCGCCCCCGTCTAATCTGGCACACCAATCACACGTTTCGTTGCCCCACAGGGAGCTCCACCGAAGGCCCCAGTGGCATGGTTCGCATGCCGCCCTCCCCCTCCATTCTAGCACACCCCTCACACGTCTCGTTGCCCCATATGGAGCTTCACCGAAGGTACCAGTGAAATGGTTCGCATGTCGCCCAACTCCACTTTGGCACACCCTCGAACGTTTCGTGGTCCCAGAGGGAGCTCCACCGAAGGCCCCAGTGGCATGGTTCGCATGTCGCCCCCCTCTATTTCGGCGCACGCCTCACACGTTTCGTGGTCCCACGGGGAGCTGCATTGAAGGCTCCAGTGGCATGGTTTGCATGCCGCCCCCCATCCACTGTGGCACACCCGCCCCTCGCATGTTTTGTGGCCCCACAGGGAGCTCCACCGACGACCCCAGCGACATGGTTCGCATGCCCCTCCCTCCACTTTGGCATACCCTGCATACGTTTCGTGGACACATAGGAAGCTCCACCGAAGGCAGTGGCATGATTCGCATGGAGGCCCGCCCCATTGCGGCGCACCCTTCGTGCGTTTGTTGCCCATAGGGAGCTCCACCGAAGGCAGGTCTCGCGACGGCGGTAGTCACGACTGCACATGGTTGGGTCCTTCGACTAATTCGCTCATACGTGCCCCGTCTCCTCATCCCATCCGCTCATATGTGCCCCGCTATTCGTTCTCTGATCTGCTCACTCCTTGGCCCACTCACACGCAAACCAACTCGCATTAGGCTCTTTTCCTGCTCAGGCTCACGCACACCGAGACATGCTCAAACCCAGACCCACTCGTTCCAGACTCGTGCCCACTCACAGTCAGACTCGCTCATACTCAGTCTCATCCATACTTAGATGCACCGCGATGTAGCAGTCATCGTATTCGGGCTTCCAACGGGGATGCCGACTATGTATACTGGTCGGGCCCGTTCACGCCCAGTGTGTAGGAACTCCCATGCAGAACGCTTCTTGTGTCCTAGTAGACAAGCCTACTCTCAGAGCCCCGTGCTCACCGCGATGTAGCAGGCATCGCAGTCGGGCCTCACACGGGATAGCCACCAGGGGGTATTGAAAGGGCCTGTCGTTGCCGAGATTTGCTTGGACTTGAAGACGAGTCTCTTCTCAGAGCCCCATGTTCACCGCCATGCATCAGGCATCGCGTTCGGGCTTTTCACGGAAGAGCTGACCAGGGGGTATTGCCCGTGTCGTCCGCGCCTAGATTCAGACCGTTTGTTAGGCCCAATAGGCAAGTTTATTCTCACAGCCCCAGGATCACCGCGATGTAGCAGGCATCACACTCGGGCTTTCCGAGGTAGTCGACCAGGGGGTATTGCACAAGCCCGTTTGCACCCATATTGGTGGGACCTCTCGGGCATCTTTTTCAAAGGCCCATTGATCACCGCGATGTAGCGGGGTTCGCACATGGGCCTTCAATGGGGGAGCGACCAGTGCGATGACACGGGGGCCATTCTCACCAGGAAGGCCCAGTGGGCCTGAAGAAGCTCCAAGAAGTTCAAGGAAGCTCCAAGATGCTTGGAAGATCCCAGGAAGCCTCTGCAGGTCTCAGGAGGCTCCAGCGAAGCGAGCCCTAGAAAGTCCAACGAGGCTCTGGGAGTCCTGGGACATGCCAGGAAGTGATGCCCTGGGATGGCCCATGGATGCCCAGCAGGCTCCGCGTGGGCCTAAGAGGTTCCAGGATGCCTCCATTCATGCGCAGACTCACTCATTCTCATATCCACTCATACTACGATTCACTCACTTTCAGACCCACTCATACTCAGTCGTTTGTCCGTAAGGGCTTCGCCCCCTGCCGCCTGCCCCCTCTCTCGGATAATGTGGTATGCGAGAACTATGTGGTGAGGACTGGACGCGTGCTCTTGGAGCGCTATTGGGGGCCTCTTGCTTGGCATCGCTTGGACGTGTGCATGTTTCCTTCGGCGAGGATCATCGAGGAGCATCCTTGATCATGTGGCGAAAAAACCATGCACGTAATCGAACAAACACAGGGAATGGACGTCCGAGCGATGGCCAGCTTGGGCCGTCTTGGGACCATCTTGGGCGCCTTGGAGCACTCTCGGGCCGTGTCGGAGGCCTCCTGTACCGTCTTGGGGGTCCTTTTGGTAAAGGATCTCGGCCTCGACCGTCCGAGCATCATGGCGCTCTTCACGAGGGTTTCTGATTTCGGGGAGGCGAAGCACGCGTAATTTACGAGGGATCGCGGTTCCAGGGACACAACTATTGTATTATTTACGAGAGAGTATTGCCTCGGATGCGCGAATACTGTGTACTTTGTGCAAAAACAACTGTGGTCTCGGGAGCGCGAACGCAGCGTGATCTGTAAGGGTTTATGGCCTCGGGGACGCGAGCATTGTGTAATTGACAAAGGGTTATGGCCTCGGGGGCGCGAACCTGGTGTCATTTACGAGAGATTATGGCTTCGGGGGCGCGAATCTAATGTATTTTCATGTGTCCCAGGACCCAGCAGAAATTCAGAGAATCCCCCCAGGTGGTCGTAACCAGGGCCTTTTTCGGCTTCCCCCCTCGCGCGGTCTCCAACAATTCGCAGTAGGAAGCAGAACACATAATTGTACCATCGAAGACTGGAAACTGGAACTGGAGCAGGGAGCAGCAAGCCCAATCCGCGGAGCCTGATGGCCCCGCAAGGGGGCAGGCGGATACACAGACTCACTCGCGCTGAGACTCGGTCATGCCCAGATTCCCGTGTATTCAGGTCCACACGTACCGACGCTCGAATATGAATATTCATTCATACCAACATTGACTCACGCTTAGCATTATCATGTTTCTTAGCGAGCCACTCATATGCAGACAATTTCACGTATGATATTCCGGGGTACCGTGTGCCTGGGGCCCGGGGTCCGGGCCAGGACACCCTCCTGGATTCCCCCCCCCCTCCTTGTTTTGCCCGCCACATTTTTGATCCCTTCCGGGGCCATTTTGGCTCAAGCGGTTCCGATCGAGGCTGTCACATCACGCGGCGGCCTTGTCAGTTGTTATCCCCCTTTCAGACTTCAACTCGATCAAGAAGCCCATCCGACACAATGCGTGAGGCGATCTGCATCCACATTGGGCAGGCGGGTGTGCAGATTGGCAATGCATGCTGGGAGCTTTTCTGCCTTGAGCACGGCATCCAGCCTGACGGCCAGATGCCATCTGATAAGACGATCGGAGGCGGCGACGATGCTTTCAACACGTTCTTCTCCGAGACTGGCGCCGGCAAGCACGTCCCCCGCTGTGTGATGGTCGACCTGGAGCCCACTGTGGTCGATGAAGTACGCACGGGTACTTACCGTCAACTGTTCCACCCTGAGCAGCTCATCTCTGGCAAGGAGGACGCCGCGAACAACTTCGCTCGAGGGCACTACACCATCGGCAAGGAGATCGTCGACCTCGTCCTTGATCGGATCAGGAAGTTGGCTGACAACTGCACGGGCCTCCAGGGCTTCATGATCTACAATGCCGTCGGCGGAGGCACCGGCTCCGGGCTCGGCTGCCTGATGCTGGAGCGTTTGTCTGTGGACTACGGGAAGAAGACGAAGGTCTCTTTCACCGTGTGGGCGTGCCCTCAGGTCGCCACGGCAGTGGTGGAGCCCTACAACACTGTGCTTTGCGTGCACTCCCTTCTGGAGCACACAGATGTCACCATCATGTATGACAACGAGGCATTGTACGATATTTGC